TTCTCGGAATACCTATCGATGTTGGACTCGTTTGTAAACACCACCTGACAACAGTTTTATGTTCATAGTCCAAATCTGCCATTTTCTCTAAATATTTAGAGGACTATATAAGGAAGGGCAAAAAAAGATGGAACCATGAGGATGTGTTCGGGCTCTCAACAAGATCACGGTAAAAAATAGTTATCCTTTACTTCAAGGTTTATGTGACAGGAGATCTTTTCACAGTCTGGTTCGGAGGGGGTGTCAATGTGTTTTTCTGTGATCTTTTGCTCATGAAAATATAAAAAGTAGTTAGTGGAAATGGGCCTCTCAAGGTGCAAAGACTTCCAGTGATGAGGAGGAAGGTGCACTTGGGGAGAACTCAAAGCTAGTATTGCAGAAAACCAATCAAAATAATATACTTCAATATCATCATTTTGATTGTTAATATCATTTACCATATCCAATAACTTATTAAATAAATCAATAGTATTTCTAGCCTGAACAAGACATCCAAGTTTATCATAATGCATCCCAGTAGCATGAAAGTAGTTGTAAATAACTAGGAGCACAATCATAACGAGGAAGATTCATTACCATAAAATATTTTGCATCAGAATTATATAAATCCATAATATTAGATTTGATGCCCTTAACTACAGCTGGAATTGTAATATTCATCACATATGCAAAATCTGGCATTCCATAACCAAGATCATTGCCACCAATTTCAATATAATAAAGTGCTTTTTCATATAGCATTTTCTTATCAAGTTTAGCACCATTTTGATGATCATTAACTTGTTGTTTATGCCATATAAAATCTGAAACTTGAGCAGACAATATATGAGGAGTAGCAAAAGATGTGTTATAACACTAGGTGAATGAACAGTTGCTCCAGCATAACCAAAATTAAAGCTTGTGAAATAAGGAGGGGCTCAATATCACCCAACTTCAATTGAAGAGCTAAATAACCAATAAATACATACCCATCACAAAATCTTCCATTGGGTTTTCCCAATGTAATTCCATATGGTAAATGTCCAGAAAGACTGAATGCACCTAGGCCTGCTGCTACTGCCTCGAGGTTGCGATTACCAGTATCCAAAAGCGAATCAGAAAAGCTAAGGATTCCAGTAGGACACAATTTTTGTTCAAAATTACGAGCATTACCATAAATCACGAGCAAAGAAAAAAGAATAAAAAACAAAAAAACGAAAAGCCATTGAGACAAATGAAGATAACAAAATGATTTGATACAAAAATGCAATTCAATTCAATGATCTTATATACTGGTCTAGAGTTATGTTTATCTGAACAACTGATAATTTTATAAAATAAGATTTGAGCTATATTAGATTTTAATTTTGGAAACCTCTTTTCTATTTTAAATCGAAATCAGAAGTTTTGTGAAATGCAAGAAAAACCATACTTCTTGGAATGCTTGCTACAGACATCAGTGGAAACAGGAGCCGAGTGCTGGTGATGCAGCTGGTTAAGCAACCTAGTGTGCTGCCCCATCACCCCATCTCTCACAACCAGTTCCCACCAGGAGAAAGATGTTTTCTTCTTTCTCCTTAAGAAAGGAAATCTTTCTTTCCAGAAGAAAGGAGTGGAAGGCTACATAGGGGATGGATTAGGGGGCATTACGGTCTGATTTTTATCATGCGCCATCCCCTTTGCAGCCTCGGCTCCAGTTCCATTTCAAGCTGGAGGCTGCAAACGGGGTGGTGCATGATAAACTACAAGAATCAGACCATAATGCCAATACAAAGCAATAAAGCTCAAGCATGCAGTTACCAAGCGTGGGAGGCGAAGCTGAGCTCTTGGTGGAGGCATGTCGAGCTACAAAAATAAAAATAAGAAAAAATAAAAACGTTTAGAATAAGGAAGAACTGGAATCATAAAAAAAAAAATTTAAAAAAAAAAATGCAAAAGGCATAAAAAAAGAGCTACCTGCTTATGAAAGACTTGGTTTGAAAGGCTTTGTGGCTTCTAAAGGTCTGCGCTAAGCGTTAAAAAATGCAACGCTAACGCTTCCTCCTTTCTCCCAAGTAGAAATCCACTCCGACGGCTTCATGAAAAATCTAATATCAAGAAAAAAGTTTAGAAGATATTGTCACATAGCATATCTCATGTTCTTGACCTTGCTTTAATTGTCTTACATGGCGAAGCGTTATCCAATTTAGATTCCCGTCGCCAGACCTGATGAACGACCTCTCGCTTGATCCTTGGATAACCATAGTCCTCGTGCCTAGCGAAATGTTAGAAAATAATCTACTATGAAATGGCCCGAAAACAAATGTCCGTGTTAATAATTATTTTTAAGTATATAAGAACGAAGTTATTTGAGGGAGATTGTCCGGATGGATAGTAAAAAAAATAGAATTTCCAGCCGTGTTTGCTCAGGCTTCCCTGTGACAATGAGAGATAAGAAATCAGTGGTCTGTTGAAATACCCGAGCACCTCCACCATAAGTAGAGAAAAAATATCTAACTGAGAAATCGGGAGCCGGCTTTACAATTTGGAAGGCACGGTTGTCAGCCTGAGCTTAAGATCGGCAGCCACGGCATCGATAAACTCCTCGGTGTTAAGATAATCTTTCTTTGTCACCCTGCACAACAAAACAGTCGCGAAAAATCCAAAGGAAAGCTGAAAAATCTATCTTACTTTGGCCCGTGGATGAGCAGAGCGAGATCCTTTGTCATTTTGCCAGACTCAACGATTCCTACGCAAGCCGCCTCGAGCTTCTCCGCGTAGTCGCTTAGCCGTGCATTGCCATCCAGTGAGGCCCTGTTTAGCAAAGCAAATATTATACGAGGAAAGAGAGGGAAACTAATACATGCCTGTGAGAAAGGCCTCGAGACCAGGCAAAGATGGAGGCAATGCTATTGGTGCTGGTTTCACCGCCTTTCTGGTGTACTCTATAGTGCCGAGTTACAGTCCCGTGAGCAGCTTCGGCTTCAATGGTCTTTCCATCGGGACAGACCTGTGAAAGCAAAATTAGTGGAAGAAGAAAGAAAAACCATCACTATAGGCTCACCAGCACAGAAGTCATCAATCCAAGGGAACCAAATCCTGCCACAGGCATGCTTAGTCTCTATGACAGAGAGAATGTATTAATGTACCTTGAGCCAAAAAGTCGCTCTGCACATCACCATCGTAGTTTTTGCATGCCCAGACATATCCACCATCGCTCTTGAGAGCATAAGCAACCATATCGTCAATCAGGCGATGCTCGTACCTGTAGATAAAACGTAAGCAGGTCGCAAACATATAAATTCAAAACAAACCAGATGCCAGCTTCCTCAAACTTGCTCTTCCACTCCGCCTCGTAGACCTCTTGGAAGATATCCTTAAACCTGATAACTTCTGTAGCTTAGAGATTGTATCCACGAATTACCATCTGAAAACTTTTACCTGCCATCGTACTTCTTCAAAATCGTGTTTTTGGTGCTCAAGTATAGAGGCCACTTCTTTGCCAGAGCGGTAGTCATAGAGGCTTGTGCAAAGGAACGAATGGACTGTTACAAACTCAAACGTTATAGAAGACTTACTGCAACAGACACCCGAACCTCATCAGTGTTGTACATAGAAAGAGCGACTCCTCCATCTCCCTTGAAGTCGTAAACCTCGAATTCAGAGGCCTCTCCATTCTCAGGCACTGCACAGCAGAGTAAACAAAAGGTAAAAAAAAAGAGAAAATCCAGTTTTCTTCTTACCAAAAACCAGCTTAAGCTTTCCAGAGCCCTTGATAACTGTATCAGTGGCACGATACTGGTCTCCAAAAGCATGCCTTCCAATGCAAATTGGTTTCGTCCACCCTGGAGTTCGTCGTAGTAAACAAAAGTAAAAGGAAACGCCGCTAACACTCACCTGGAACAAGCCTCGGGACGTTCTTGCAGACAATCGGCTCTCTAAAAACAGTCCCTGCGCGTCACACTGCACGTAAGACATGCCATCCACCAAAGTCTGTGTCTTACCGTTCAAAATGTTACGAATTGTCCCATTGGGACTTTTCCACATTGCCTTGAGGCCGAATTCCTTGACTCGAGCTTCGTCTGATAGCCAAAATCCATACGCAAAGCATGAGAAGGAAACTACGAGCACAAACGCACCGGTGTACCTGGCGTGATCGTTGCACACTTGATCGCAACATTGTACCTTTACAATTGGGAAGAAACAGATTTTTCCAGTAAAAAAGAAAAGGATATGTATGTTACTTGAGGGTCGCTTCGGCACTCTCAACTGTGACTTTGTCATCAGTTTCGTCACGATGTGGAAGGCCCAAGTCAAAGTATTTAATATCCAAATCAAGGAATGGAAAAATGAGCTGCAAGAATGGGCCAAGTTAAAATCTATGGAAGAGAAGAAAAAAAATGTGGACAAGGGAAAAAAGAGCGCGTGACAAAACCTTGTCCTTGATCATTTGCCAGATGATCCGGGTCATCTCATCTCCTGCAAGGAAGAAACCGAAAAAGTATAGAAATGTGAGCGATCCTGTAGAGGAAAAGAACAAAAATATCTCCTCACTCACCGTCCATCTCCACGATGGGATTCTCCACCTTGATCTTCTCGAACGCCATTCGGATCTTGCGCTTCTGAGCAAAGATCGTGAGATAATGACCTTTCGAAATCCGGCGAGGCTCGATCGAGGCGGATCGATCAAGAAGGGAAAGATTTACCTGCGCTTCTACAGGCGATGGCGATGGCGATGGCGCCGGCGGATGCGACGCTTTTGCCGGCGGCGGCGAGCTGGAGGGAGGGCGGAGGAACAAAATAGATCCAAAGAACACACTTTAGGACTCTCCCTTCCTGGGATAGAATATACCACGGCGTAATGCCAGGTGGCGCCTTTCGATTTGGCTCTTGGATGGAAGCTCCGGGTAGGTCACTCTTTCTATCCAAGCAAACGTTTCCTTGGATGTTTTTTGCTCTACAGATATTATACGAAGAATGATCGATTGAAAAGAACAAATGGATAAGATTATACAAGAAGAAGAACTTTGCTACTGATAAGATCAAACAAAGTTGGATCGGACTTGATTGATAGCGGCCTCGTCCAAGAAGAAGGTCTTCTCGAGCACCTCGTCTGGGACCTCTGGACGGGAACCAAACATGGATCTCGCGATGAACTGGATTCCAGGCAGCTGGGAGTTGAGAGTGGCAATGATCTTCGCGTTGCCAGTCCCAACATTCATCTGCCAGTGGATCAATCCGCGAGGAATCACCATGACTTCGCCCCTGTTCATGACACGAGCAAACAAGCGATTGTCCGCGGTGACGATGGCGGCGTAGACGCTGCCCTCTTCTACGTAGACCATCTCCGAGGCTCTGGGATGGGTGTGTGGGGGGATGATTCCTTCGGGGAGGAAGTCGAGCCTGGCGATGGAGAGACCCAAAGTGTTGAGACCAGGGAACCTCAGCACTGTCCCAAAGATGGCGCCGGAGCGATTGATGTTCGTGGTGTTGGAAGAATTGACGATGCCGCTGTAGATGAAATCGTCCACCGTGACTGTCGAGGAGTTCGTGCATGGGAACCCATTGACGCCTGGGACAGCGGTGAGGTCTCCAATGCAAAAGTCCTGGAGTGGATCTGGATCGGATGAAACTGCCACAGTGACGAAGAATGCGAGCAAGGCAATCCCAAGAGCTTGAGATTTGGAAACAGCCATCTTTTCACTGATCAAAAACTTTTGGATCTCGAAAAGGATGGATGAATGAATGATTTTGCTGGGGATAAGAGAAGATATATATACTGAGAATTTACACGATTATCAATGTGTACGTTTCTTGGATGTTGCTGGGATTGTAAGAATTTGACAACCGAGTGAGCCAACTATATTGGAACAGCGAGTTTTGAAAATTGTAGAGCTTGCTGGACGAAGTCAGCTGCTTTGAGAATATTCTGTGTTTCTGGTCTTATGATTTTAATTTAATACACAGTGATCTAAAACACAAATCTCAGTCATTCTCAAATAGACTTCAGTGATTAACTCTATGAATCACGCTGAATAAAAGAAAACATGACTCGGACAAGCCAATTCCCTTATAAGTGCTTACATTTAACCTGGAGCAAGAGAATAGATTAAAATCCAATTGAGTATTCTAATAACTGTAGAATTGTTTCACATCAGACATGACTTGGCCTGAATATATTTACATATTCTAGGAAAAAATTAAAAATAATAATAGTGGGTTGCAAGCCTAAATGAAGTGAATCTTTTATAAAATTACACCCCAGCATTAGAAAAGAAACAACTTTGGTCTGATCTCAAAGTTAATAGTCCATCTGAATGTACACTCTCTTTAGGAATTCTGTTTGATTTTAATTTATCAACAAAATAATTTTTAACCAAGACAAGTTGATTATAAATTTACTTCCAACTTTTTTTAATGTTTATTTCTTTCCTCCTAAGTAAATTATCGACTTTTCACCATCTAATCAGAGTGTATTTCTAAAAATTTTAAGTAATATTTTTTATGTTTTAATTTCTATCAATAAGGTGATTGATTTGATCTCCTTCATTTACTGAGTTTGCTTATAATAATTTCTAACATATCACTTTCCATTTTTCAATTATGATCTTAATTCTCATTAGTTATATTTATTTCCTCTAGCACCTAGTCTTATAATTGATTTTGTTGCTATTTATATTACTCATTGCGATGTTGTTAATAGTTCTAGCCAACTTAGTCTTCTTATTAATACTTAAGTTCATTCTCTATGCTTAGCATCATAAAGAAGCATGATATTATGTATTTACTATGCCTCTGTTTTTATTGAGGAGCCACTATTAGCCATGGTAGGAATCGAATCCTAAGCTTCTACTCATGATATTTAAACTTAAAACTTATTATACAATAACATATATCCATACTCAAATTAGATAAAAGTTTTTATTAGTAATCTTGTCATTTTCTCTTCTCTTAATGACAAGTTTTTTATAGTAAATAAAAAATTAATATTAAAATATAAATATTATAATAATTTATTACATATTAGCAATGTTATTCAATTGATAAAATCTTTAATTATAAATATAATACTAATATATTATAGAAAAACTATAGCTATAAATTTATTTTTCATTCTCAATCTCCATTGCATTCTCCTCTTTTGTCATGTGACACTGTCATTAATTAAGGAGTTTATCATTTGAGGCTATTAATGCTGCTTTGTTAGATTAAGATTTTGGTGAGGCATGATTACCATAAAATATGGTTATATAGTGTGTTCTATTTTTATTGTCTTGCCATGTCGAAATATGACTTTACTATTAATTGGAGAGTTATAAATGATGCAATTTAGTTTTTGGAGAATGTTCAAAAGGTTGAGTTTATGAGAAAATAATGTGTAAAAAATTGAGTGAATTTTGAATTGTGACAAGGAGATTGATTATTATAGAGATATATTTGAAGATAAGTTAAATATTTTGCAAAATATATGTCAATCTTTTAAATTATCATTTGATCTTTTCTTTTTACCTTTGCTTTTTCCAAACTTTTTGTTATTTCCCCACCTTCTTATATTCTTTGTATTCTTCTTTATCTACAACATTTCCTTCTTCTAACACATTGATTATTGTAACTTTTATAATTCTCATTCTCAATTCAGTATTTGAGTTGAGTGTTTTTATCCTCCTCATAATAATTCAGATATTGAACATATGTGAAGTTGAGAATTTTATTTTTATTTTGTTGTGGAGTATTTGATTAATTTTGATATTGAATATCCTTTGTTCTAAGGGTTAAATCATTTCTGCTAAAGTTTTGGGTTAAGTGGGCATTTTTTATTGTAAATGCTGTTAAAAGACTTTATTTTACTATTGTTGTTGTGGAGTTTATGTTCTTTTGAAAGTATGAATTTTTCTATATATTTTCTTGTATGAAGTGTTAAGTTATATGTTGAGAAAGTTGAGTGTTGTGAATGTCTTATTTATCTTATGGTAGCTAGAGTATTTTATAATAACATATCCATTATTATCTAAGCTTTAAATATATATCTTCTTTTTACTTCTCTATATCCATTTTTACAGTTATTGAAAATTCCTTTTTTAATCCTTCTTTATTCACTTTTTCTTTTTTTTTCTTTATCCACTTTTTTTTTTTACTCTTAAACTTTTTTCGAAAGAGGGCATAAAGGGGATGGATGGATAGAAATTTAGCCCTAACAATAAAGTAAAGATGAGTGGATATGGTAGTGGAATGAGAATAAATAACATAGATTGTAAAGTAAGGTTGAACATAATGAGTTTAAATAAAACATTTAACCTCAACTTAATAAGGTTAAATGAATACAATAGTAAAGTGAGGCTAAATATAAATAGCAAAATGAGGATAATTGTAATGTGTTTCAAAACTTTTTTCCTTCAAGAAGGGGACAGAATTGATATGTAAGATGAATGAAGTGCCCATGTATTGTGCTAGATGAGAACAAAAGTTAGAATTTCAAATTAACACAAAGCTCAAATCTTAACCAAATGGAAGATATATAGATAAATTTTGTTAATGGTCATGAGTTTGAATTAACAATGGTCTTAATAGATGGTTAGTGGGTAAATTATTTGTTACAGTGGTGTTTTGTAGACTTTAACAGCTCTAAAAGTCCTTTACTTTGGTTCAGATTTGGTTTAAGCATTTAGTAGTTACATATGTAATTCTAATTGGGTCATCAAGAGTTTATAGTCAATTGATATTTATACTATAACTTTAGATTTTATTTCTATCATAATTGTTAGTAACTATATTGGTGATTATGTGGGAGTTTAAGTTCTTATAGCAATTTATAATTGCTTAGTAGGATCTTTAAATGTTCCACCTAACTTATAATCATCACTTTTTCATCTTTTATATCTATGTATGTATATATATATATATATATATATATATATATATATATATATATATATATATATATATATATATATATGAGTGCTTGGAATATGGAAAGGGAATACAGAAATATGCATATCAATTAGCCTAAAAACCCTAGCTTATATATACGAGCGAGTGGTCCGGATTGAAACCAATCTAACGGCTACCAAAATCCCACTATGCTAATATTAGTATACGGCATCGTAGCCATACACTTGGCCCTCACATCATCCCCTCCTCTCAGAATAATGGAAGACCATCAGGGTTCTCTTGTAGACGGGCCGGGATCTGGAGGAGGAGGAAGCATCGGCGGATTTGTAGATGGTATTAACTGCTCCTGATCCCTTTGTATGAAGCGTTTCAACCGCTGTACATGCACAATCTCTGGAGGATCGGCCTGCTGGATATCATGCCGAACCTCATAAACTTGTGGTCCAACTTGCCACAACACTCGATACGGTCCTTTCCACTGTGCAAGGAGCCCCTTAGATAAACCACGTACCGTAAGATGGGGAAAACAGACTAACACCAAATCATCCATTTTGTACTCCGCCGGTGGACGATGATGGGAGTTGTAGCGCCATTGTTGTCCCACTTATACGCGGCCTAAGTGTTCGGCAGACTCTGCTCGGACAAGTGGAAGAATGCTTGTCAAATATTGATCCCATGACTTAGCATCCGCAGCTCGTGGCAATCGCGAAGGTAAACCCAGCTCCGTTGGTAATATTGGATCATGACCATATAGGAGTTTATATGGTGAAGCACCAATAGAACTCTACACCCCAGTGACATATGCATACCGAAGAGATGGCAAATAACCATCCCAATCCAAATGCTGAAAGTTCACATACTTCGCAATCATCCCCTTGAATGTCCGAACGAGCCATTCCACCAGACTGTCTGATTATGGATGATAGCACTAGTGAAAGTGTGGCGTATCCCTAGCCGAGATGTCAAAACATGAAGTGCCTCAGCCATAAATGTGGGACCATTATCCGAAAAAATCCGCTCTGGACAAGAATGCTGGAACACCACTCGATTAAGGAGGAAGTATCCAACAGCAATTGTAGAGGTGCTAGCAAGAGCACCAACTTCCACCCAACGAGTCAAATAATCAGAAGCAATAATAACATACTCATTGCCAATAGTTGACCGTGGAAACAGTCCCATAAGATCAAACGCCACCAACTCAAACGGACGGGAAACTGCAATTGACTCCAACCGTCCTTCCGTAGCCCGAAGGGGAGTATTATGAGCTTGGCACCAAACGCAGCTACGCACATACCGGATAATATCACATCGCATCTCCGGCCAATAGAAAGACCTACGTAGCTTCTTGATTACATAACGATGTCCCATATGCCCACCTAGAACAGGAGAATCATGGTAGGCATGGAGAAACCGCGGAATAAAGATAGAAGGCACCACCAGCCGTAAATGATTATCAGGATCTGTCCCCACAAAATAAAGAAGGCCACATTCAAGACGATATTGAGAATGTAAATACCGGAAAGGCAAGTCATCAGCAAGTGATGCAGGATTCTCAAACCCATCTCGAAGCCTCCAAATCTGTGGCTCAATCTTTTGAGCCTCGTGAACCTCATCAAGCGAAGGTAGATCTTGCTCTGTACCTTGTGGACACTGAACGTCAAGTACAGCAACTGCCGACGGCACAGAATCCTCATCTAGAAAATCCACAGATGCTAGAACGACAAGCTCGTTAGAAACATGAGAAGAGAATGGAGAAGGAAGAGGAGCTCGAGAAAGGGCATCAACATCAGCCATAGAACTCCCTAGGAGGTGAACAACATCAAAATCATATATCTAAAGCTTCAAAACCCACCGAGCAGTACGACCAACCAGGTTCTTCTGCTTTAATAATGAAGTAACAGCAGCATGGTCACCTTCAAGTAACGTCCGAGAACCATGTAGATATGCATGAAGTTTCTCGAAACCCCAAACTGCTGCTAAACACTCCTTCTCTGTCGTGGAGTAGTTCATCTCCGCTGGTTGTAATGTATGGCTTATATATGCAATGGGATGGCGCTGACTAGGCACACTCGAGCTCTCTTGCATTAACACACCTCCAAGACCAATGTCAGAAGCATCCATGCGCAAAATAAAAAGTCGAGTGTAGTCAGGATATGCCAAAACTGGAGGAGTTGTCAATAACTTTTTGAGATCCCCGAACGCCCCCTCACAATCCGGAGACCAGATGAAAGATGATGTTGATGACTTCAGCAACGCTCGCAATGGTGCGGTGTGATCAGAAAGATGATCCACAAAATGCCCGAGATACTGCACCTTGCCCAAGAAGTGCTGCACATCATTCACACACTTTGGAGTAGGGAAATTTAGAACAGCCATAAGTTTGTCAGGATCAACTTGCAAACCATCACAAGAAATACGGTACCCAAGATAAGTTGTGTCCTTGGATCTAAACACGCACTTCGACCGCTTCAGCTTTAAACCAACATCGCATAACCGATTCAACACTTTACAAACATCACGAACATGCTCCTCCCACATCCCCTCCGAGTGGATCAAGACATCATCAATGAAGTTAGCAGTCACCTCCGGCATATTGCAAAGAACTTTGTCCATCATCCATTGAAAAGTTGCTGGAGCATTGTTCAAACCAAATGGCATCACCAAGAACTCATACAAACCAAATGGTGTACGAAAAGTAGTCTTAGGAATATCTTCTTCGGCCATCGGTACTTGCCAGTACCCAGAAGCAAGATCTAGCTTGGTGAACCAACGACTTCACCCCAGATGATCTAAGAGATCAACAGTGTGAGGAAGAGGGTACACATCCGGGATCGTTATGTTGTTTAACGGACGATAGTCAATGCAGAAACGAATATTCCCATCAGGCTTCGTCACAAGATGAGGTTCACATGCCCAAGGACTTCACGACTTCTGAATAACACCCTTCTCTAACATCTCCTTGACATTTGCACGTAAAATCTTGATCTCCTTTGGTGACCGACGATGAACATGAACTTTGAATTGACAAGCATCTCCAGTTGGAATCGGATGACATGTAGCAATCTTGGCTCTAGACGATAGGTCATAGTCAAAGAGATCAGAATACTCTGTCATGAGCCGGTCAACTG